GGATCGAGAGGTGAGCGAACGCCGGTATGTGTTCGCTCACCTCCCGATCTACTGAGCCGACCTGTGACAGTCTCATTGTCACAGGTCGGCTAGAACTATGAGGTGAGTGACAAGCCCCTCCCCCTCATAGTTCTCCTTTAAATAGGGAAGTATCCTGATTAAGCGCGTCACTTCCTGTGATTGTGAGTGTCTTCCTGTGCGTTACGCGCATGCGCGTAAGTGTTCTGCGAACAGCAGGGATAACTGGATTTGGTGCATGCGCAGGAGATGAGGTTCGCTGACAATTTGGTTTCCAGTCCTATGGACGAGCCCCTCTGGCCCCCACTCAGACACCCGAACTCTAGGGAACAATGATCAGACCCTTCCCCCCCTTTCTTTCTTCCCTGCTCCCCGGACACGGCTCACTAGTGTGAAGTCACTCACAAGGACACGCGTGTGTGTGTGTGCAGCCATGGACAAGGTGTGATGAATGTCAGCGGACATGTCCTTGTATATGGGCCAGTGACAGGCGGACACCTCGTGTGTGATATTCATCCACCGGGCTGATCACTTCCACACAGCAACCCGATCATCAAACATTGTTACAAAGTATCCTGTGTACAAAGATCTTCCCTGACATCTGATATAAAGATTCCTCCGTGAAGGATGATGATGATGATGATGATGATGATGATGATGATGATGATGATGATGATGATGACGATGACGTCTTATTTCATGAAAATGTACCAAGTGAGGGAAATACCAGAATAAGAACCGAGTGTAAAATGATGTGTGTTATGTACAGGAAGTTCTATCTCACTCTTCTCTCCCCCCTCCCTCCTGCTCTTTCTCCCCTACCTCCCCCTTATCTCCTTCACCTCTCTCCATCCTTTCTCCCCCTTTCTCTCTCTCATCTCGCCCCTCTCTCTCTCGTCTTGCCCCTCTCTCCTCTTTCCCCTCTCTCCTCCCTCTCTTATCTCGCCCCTCTCTCTCTCTTGTCTTGCCCCTCTCTCGCTCGTCTCTCTCGTCTTGCCCCCCACTCTCCTCTCACCCCTCTCTCCTGTCGCCGCTCCCTCTCGTCTCTCCTCTCTCTCTCATTTAGCCTCTCTCTCTCTCGTCTCGCCCCTCTCCTGTCTTGCCCATCTCTCATCTCGTCCCTCTCTCTTGTCTTGTCCCTCTCTTGTCTCACCCCTCTGTCTTTCGTCTCGCCCCTCCCTCGTCTCCCCCTCTCTCTCTCATCTCTCCCCTCTCATCTTGCCCCTCTCTCGCCCCTCTTTCTCTCTTGTCTCACCCCTCTCTTTTTCCCTTTTTGTCTCTTGTCTCCCCCCCTCTCTCTCTCTTCTCTCCCTTTCTCTCTCTAGAGATCTCAGTCTTGCGAAGGCAGATTTGGGGGAATTATTGGGACTGTATGATGTAGTGAGCAGGGGAGGATGACCATTCTATGACATTTATATGGCCAGATCACAGCATGGCCACCTCATCCCACCTGGGAAGATCTGCAGGTATAATACATAGATCGGGTCCAGTGACTCAGGTATATGGGCACCTAGGTGTGTCATGTGTTCCGGTTACCATTTGGAGGTACGGGGCTTTTTTTTTTTTTTAGAAAAGTCTCAGCCGATGTAGGCCGCGTATCATTCACAATTTCTGATTTTAGAGTGTTGACTTTAATGTTGTGATCGGTGCTGAACCTATTAAATTACTTTGGGCTATCGAAGAGACTGATGCTTGCCTGAGTAACAAAGATTTGCTGGCTCCCCAATGCTGGCTCCTCATTGCTGGCTCCCCAATGCTGGCTCTTCATTGCTGGCTCCCCAATGCTGGCTCCTTAATGCTGGCTCTTCATTGCTGGCTCCCCAATGCTGGCTCCTTAATGCTGGCTCCTCATTGCTGGCTTCCCAATGCTGGCTTCCCAATGTTGGCTCCTCATTGCTGGCTTCCCGATGCTGGCTTCCCAGTGCTGGCTCCCCAATGTTGGCTCCTCATTGCTGGCTCCCCAATGCTGGCTCCCCAATGCTGGCTCCCAAATGCTGGCTCCCCAAAGTTGGCTTCCCAGCGCTGGCTCCCCAATGCTGGCTCCTCAATGCTGGCTCCTCAATGCTGGCTCCTCAATGCTGGCTCCCCACTGTTGGCTTCCCACTGGATCCC